CTGCATTTATACATCATTTATGCACAAAGTCCAATCTAATTTCTTTTGCTTTTTTGTGCTTACTCACAACAATAATTAAACTCAATAACTGGCTAGTTCAATGCAGATCTCCCACAAAAACTGTCTGCATAGAATCTCTACTGTCAAAATGTAAGAAAATAAGCCCTACTGGATGTCAGTGTACCAGCATCTTAAGCCCAAAAACATTTGCTTTAAGTTACACTGATCTTGAGTCTTCCTTCCAAATAAATATGCTTAGAAAAAACAGAATACTTTCAAGAACTATTGTACGTCCAACTGATGCTGCTGCCAATGTAACGAAGAATCTGGATGCTGAAGCAGAGTTTTACAATTTTATTCCAACAGCTCAAATCAGGCGGTGCCATTTTAACAGTTACTAGGGAGCTATTTATTTTTTGCTTTCTTTTTCAAGGCAAGCCTTTCCTGAAACAGATTAAAGCTAAACCAAACTCTGTAGATGAAATTGTTTTTTCCATGATAATATTTGATTGCTATAGACAGAGCTCTCTAAAAGACCACAGCAAAGCTTCATATTATCATATGTAAGACACACAAGGTATCCGGGAAACGATTCTGGTTTTATCACCTATCACTGTTTGCACCATTTGAAATCTGTTGGCTCCGAGGGTATCACAACAGTCTTTTTCTGTTACAGTCGGATGAACTTTCCTTCCCTTATACTTTGCCTATTATCAATCAGCTTTATTGCATTTCCATTCACAGAGGTGATAGGAAATGACGACACTTCTGCGTTCCTAAAGATATTGCTGCTAACTTCTTCTATCAGCACCTTTATTAAAGGACTACAGAAGGTATGTGGGAGGTGAAAACAGAACTTGAATGGCAGGAAGCAAATGTATTTATTTTATTTACAAGATTATTAAACTGCTCTGTAACTGAAAAGAAGTCCTGCGCAATGAATGAGGATAAAGCCAAAAAACAACACAAATATTTTAAATCATATTATACCAATAAAACCATCCATGATTGGTCTTTTACTCAGGACAGGCTTGCTCAAAACAAGTAATATTGTGCAAACACCAAAGACACTGAAGCTTGCCTAACATCAACTGGCATGATTCTAGAAAGGTAACTAACATACTAAAGGTTCTACTCTATATGGACTCTAAAAATAAGTTAGGTGCATGCAGAACAACCAGAAGCTCCTCATGCAGTGATCAGACTCTCAAATATCTTGACCTCAAGTTGTTCAGGGCTTCCTATTCCAACAAAACGAAAACAAAAAGCTAATGCAATTGTCCCAGAAAAGGTATTACAGTCTGGGAAGGGATAACCCACAACTATAGAAGAATAGCTATATTCTGAATTTCCTACAGCTTCTGGAGCAACCAGAAGGGCAGCCTCACACTGAGCACATCCTGGTAATCCAGTTTTGTAGTTACTAATGGTTGTACTATTGTGGTCAAACTATCTAAAAGAAGACATACAAAACTGGTAGAAGGCACACCAAGCTACCACAGCCAGCTGGGCTTCCAGTAACAGAAATGAATCCAGGAATATCCCCAGACTTTTTAAGAAGGCATGCAACCCTACCTATTAAAAGCAATAGGTCTCCCAGACTCAGTTCACCCATGGGGTCTTGACTCACCCACAGCTGAATGTTACCAGCATCTGTTTACTGGCCCTAACACAACAGAGTCCAGACACTGATCTAGGAATTACACAACCTCAGCCTCACCCAATTCAGAAGTCACAGAGAGACACAGCTGCATTCCATCAGCATATCCATGGCTCTTCATTCCAAGTCCCTCCTATGAACAAGCATCGCCCTAACTTCCTATAGATGGGGGCAAGTACTTTGGGAAACCCACAGCACAGTCAAAGAGGTAAGCAATACTCAGCTATTATACTGCAGTGTCTGGGTTGGTCTCAGAGAATATCACCAATACCCAACCCACAGAATTGGTCTAGAAGGATATTAGGGTCAAAAGTATTAAAAACAGAACAAACAGCACTGCATTTCCCTTTTCCTTTTCTTGCCATTCAGCATTCCTATGATTAGGCTAAAAGCCAGAGTGAAACAAATCTAAACCAGGAAGGAGGAATGCGCAGCACCTCCAGATGACACTGGGGTGATGGGGAAACAACGTTTGGAGGCCAGAGGATCTAAATCACCAGTATCCTCCAAAGAGTGCCTTCACAATTACCTTCTCCAAGAAAGTTACTTTAAAAAAAAAAGGAAAAGCAAATTCCTAATACAAATGGTTCATTTCCTGAGAATTCCTAATATCTAATATTCATTATAATATGGTAAAACCTTAATGTTTCCTCTTCATTTAATCAACCTGAATTGTAAACATTTCCACAGCCTACAGGTCATGAATGGATCCAACATCATTTCAAGTCTGTAGCATCAAAAAGGTATGTGTTTCTGGCAACACCTAGCCAGAAATGGTTCTGCAGGCTTCACTGTTCACACTGTCTTGCTCTCCAGCAGCAAGAGGAGGGTAGAGCCAGAAGCTTTACTGAAAGGAAGGAACAGTTTCTCCCTCAACTTTGGCAGAAGGTTATTTACAGTTCATACTGGTCTGCAATCTGTCAATCAAAGAACTTCACTTCAAAGGATTGTCTTGACTTTGCATCCGGAAGGAAGGAGGGAAGGGACCAGTTCACAACCCCTACTTTCTTTCATAACCTGAAATTACAAATAGATCAGCACACTCACCAATAGTGCAAGTCAAGTACCTGCCACACAATGAAGGAATCCTAAGGCTCCAAAACTTATAAGTCAACATGTACAGAACAGTCAGTATACAGACCATCCCCAGATCATGAATGAGTTCCATTCCTAAGAAAACAGAAATTCTCTTTAAGTCAAATTTGCATGTAAGTTGGATTGTGTAGTCAGCAGGACCCCTGTGAAAGTAGGAAAACTACAAATATTACCACCACCACCCCACTGCAAAACTCACCAGTGCCTCCTCTTTGTAGCAAGGAAATGTTGGCAAGATTTTCCTCTCCAGATGGGCAGGGCAGAAAGGCATGATTTGGAGGCCTCCCTCTCCCTCTATGGTGATGCTCTGGAAGCCCGCCCTCTCTCTCCTTTCATTCCTTTCTCTCTATGGTGATGATGTTTTCTTGCAGTAGGCCTTTAACTTAATATGCTTTATGGTAGTTTGTTCTCGAGTACAGATTGTTCGTAACTCAGACATTCACAACCCAGGGACTCCCTATATATACTTTTTTCTCAACTCACTTGAATGTTGTTAGGAAAATTAGAATTCCCTAAACAGCAACCTAACCTAGACTCACACAACTGTGTCCATTAGTATTGACAGAGAACCCTCTCCTTACATTCAACAGCATTTATGAGCCCAACTGTAGAATTATGAGCTAAACTAGATTATGCATTTCTGACAATGTGTTATGATACTTCCAGGTATTGATGCCTATGTTCCTAATTATGAGATGAGCTTGTCATGGTATGTTCTATTCATCTAGGTAGTTGCAAAGATAACCAAGCACAAATTTTTGTTCATCTCATACCTATCACTAACTCGTTCATGTATTGGAATTCTAGTCAGAGAACTGGAAAAGACTCAACAAATTAGCTGAAGTTTGTTGATTATTTTTTCAATTAGCTAAATTGCTGAATGCATCAAATATTAAATAAGCTGTAGATCCTTCTGTTGATCTGTGAAAAAAATGGAGTGGAAATGGAAAAAACCTATACAATTATTTCTCTTCTTTCTAGCATGACAAATTCTTTTACACCCTTTTCGGAGCTTCATGGATGCTAGTAAGGAATCCTCAAGTTCTTTTACATTAACACCAAGCAAAAAAAGGAAAAGCTTCTTATCTCAGTGTGAAGGTTAGGGTCTTCTCCAGCAGTTCATTAAAATTCTACTCAAACACTGCTCTGTTCCAAGAATTACATTTACTGTACCCTCTTCCCAATTTCTCAAACACATCCCTGAAAGTCTCCAACAATATCACCACAGAAATCTGAACACTCAACCGCACATCTGGGAAAAGAGAAGAAAAGGTTCCGTCAAGCCACACCCCCACACCCACCCCCTTCCACCAAGAACCACGGAGTTCATTCAAATCAAGACAGATAAGCTAGCACCCACACAGCAACACAGATAAGGATCACCACTCTATGTACATACATAGTAGCCACATGTGCCTCGCTCCCGCGGCACTGGGTTAAGATCCAGAAAAAGTGTGAACGCAAACATTCTGCAACATTTAATAAGCCCTTAACTGTTCAAATGAGACTGGAGAAAAAGGGGGAGAGAAAGAAAACGATACAGACACACACAATGACAGGGATGAGGATCAAGGAGGCTTATTACTCACAACCAAACCCTGTATCAAAAAATTCTCCTACTTAAGCAGGAGAAAGACATACAGAAAGCATCTATAATTGTGCATCTTTTTCCACCATTTACAACAAGGTCACACCTACAATGCGTCCAAAAGAACCAAACACACACTCGCAGTTATAGGTAGATTTATTTCGTACACTGAAATCCCTCTTTCCTTCTATCATGGAATTCACAAGGATTCCCACTTGGCCGAGAAACACACAATGAAAAACCCCATTTAAGAGAAGGACGGATGAAATTGATTTTTTTTCCTGGCGTTGTCATAGGCGCAGAACAGGTTAAAAGCGCAACCGACCCCCTGCTAGCTGACCCGTCTTAACGTGGCCTGTGCATGAACATGCAAAAGAGGAAGGATTAATTTGAATTGCGCCTGGTTTCTCCAGGGCATAAAAATACTAACATTAAGCCTTCCGCACACAGCGATTCTGAGAGCGTGCGCACACCTTCCCGAAAGGAGAGGGAAAGGGAGAAAAGGGGAATAAGGGAAGCATATTCCTCACAACGCAGGGCAGGGCAGGGCAGGGCAGGGCAGGGCAGGGCAAGCGAAGCACGCGGAGAACCGCTCCGACCGACCGACCCACCCATCCAGCCCAGCCCCCTCCACGCCGTCGCCCGCCCGCCACTTACGCTCGAAATCGGAATCCGAGTCCTCGGCGGCGGCGGAGGCGGCGGCGGCGGCGGCTTCCCTCCGCTCCTCCTCTCCGTTGGACTCGGTCTGCATAGGCTCCCCATCGAAGTTGACCCCTTTGCCCCTGGCGGCCGCCCCCTCTCGCAGCTGCTCGTCTCGGGTGTCCCTCAGGCGGCTGAAGTACTCAGCAGCGAAGTCCAGGAGATCGGGCGGCCGGTGCCGCAGCACCTCCACCGTGTAGCCCTGCAGCAGCTCCGTCAGACCCGGCGGGATTTCGATGCTCATCTTGCTGCTGTGGCTGCTGCCGCGCCTCGCTCACAAGTGACCCGACGAAGCGCCCGCTACGGCTGCCTCCCCCTCTCCTCAGCCTTCACACCGGGCCCGGCGCCGGGGCCTCCTCCCACCGAGACTCCCTCCGAGTCTTTCTCAACCCGAGGAGCCGCACTTGCGCTGCCGCGGTCTGACACGCGAGGAAGAAAAAAAGAATTGGGGGGAGGGGCCTGGACGGAAGCGCACGAGGATCTGCGCACGCCCAGCAGGAAGCGGCGGAGAGCGCGGGTGGGGGGGGGGGGAGGGGGGAGAAAAGGGGGCGGAGCCGCGCGGAGAGAGGGCCGTGAAAGCGGAGGGGGCGGGACAATGTGCGTCACAATAAAGAACAAGAGGCGCGCGAATGACGGAGTGGAAGGAGGTGTGTGCGGGCATTGCGCATGCGTAGGGGGAGTTAAGGTTACCTTTCTCCTGTCGTGCATTGCAGAAGTGGTTGAGGTGACCGTTGGTGTAAGAGGAAAGCGGGTGCTAATTGCATCTCTTGTATCTGTTCAGTGGCCTTCCAGACACTCTTTGAGAAGAGAGCCAGTGTGGTGTACTGGTTCGAGTGCTGAGCTATGGCCGAACATTTCTGTTCATGCAAGTTTGACTTTCCCAGGGTAGATATTTTCTGGTTTTATGTCATAGTCTTGAAAGTTGAAAATAAAGGATATGAGGATACAAGTTTTTATGTGCTGGCTTGATCACTTTGTCAGTAAAGTGTTCAGACAAAGTAAGATCATGGCCGGTTTTTACTGCTGACAATTCTGTGCATAATTCCAACATATAGGCAGAGACGGTGCAATAATATTTTATTTCTATATTTCTCAATAGCTAGTACGTGTGTGCTCACATATATATATATATATATATATGGCTACCTTTAAAAGTGAAACTCCCTCAAGATAGCATACACAAAAAAAAGGATGCGAAGTGAAAAAATATCAGTACATATGTATTCAATAAAATTATAATAATCACTAAAAACAGGTACCAATATTAATCATTAAACTTATTTGCACCCCTGGGATAATGTGACATACAGATCCAGGCCCTAATACTCTATAGAGAAATTTGAAATATTTATTGCATCATAAATGCACCCACCTTTCCCTGAGGCATAAGTAACAGCCCGCACAGCTAGTTTTGAGTAAATACAATGAAAAGGCTAGAATGGCTCTTTTTTTAAAAAAAAAAAAAAGCCAGAAATAATACATGTTATAGATACTTGAGAACAATATTTTAAACAAATACCCTTGCGATGTTTGATTAATATTGACTCCGTAATGCTTAAAACCCATCCAGTGCTGAATGGAAAGGACTGGACAGCAACTTTCAAGCAATTCCCCAGGCATCCATAACTATACAGGAAAGAAGTTATAAGCTACAAAAATCCCACAGAAACCACATTTTGGGCAATAGTCTGTATTCCAGAAAAATGTCTGGAGTAGCAAATTTATTGAATGTAAAACCTGGTGGACCCTGTCCACTTCATAAGAAAGATGAAGTCTCAGTCTCAAATTGACTGATTTATATAAACATGCAGTGGGTGGGAGATGGTAAACTTATCTGAACAAATTAAAATGCATAAAAAAGGATAGGCAATGATAACTTCTTTAACAGTTGCTATTCTCAAAATTTGTTTTGGTGATATATATAATAAATTTGCTAATTTTTAAGGTGTCACAAGACATTTTGTTGTTTTTACATGTTTACTGTCACTTTCAAAGAACTCTGAAAGTTTAGTGAGGCAGGACTTACTTTCATAGAAACAATATTGACTCGTTTTCAGCAGGTTCTTTCTTTTTCAGCTTATCCTCTTATGTGCTTATTAATTTTATCCTTAATTATGCATTCAGCCAATTTACTTGGAACAGATGTTAAGCCGACTGGTCTATAACTTCCAGAAATTTCAGATCACTTAGCTTAAAATTGTGATTTTGTTAGCTATTCTCTAGTTCTCTGATAGAAAGGCTGATCTTAGGGAGTTGATTTCAAAGTTGCTGTTCTGGGCCATTTTCCAGAATATGGATTATTGCCCAGAATAGGTACCAGAAGTGTGGATTCTGTGGATGTTTTATGACTTACTGCATCCCCCACCCACTCATATAGTGATGTGTTAAGTTCGGTTGGTTTGGCTCATGTGGAACTTGCCATTCTGGACTAGATTCAGAGTATGGACTTGTCATTTATTATATCAGTCTCATCTGGCCATGCAATCAGTTTGGTTACGCTGACTCCCTTGAAAATCACTGTTCTGGAACCTTTTGCAGAATACGGACTATTGTTCAGAAGAGCTAATGAAAAATGATTCCTGTGGAAGTTGTGCAGCTTAAGCCAACACTTCCTTGTAGTTAAGTCTAACTGGTGACTTTGGTTCACTTGCCTTGTTTGGAAGTTGCCATTCTGGGACATTCCATTCTGTTCCAGTTCAGTTCTGGGCACTATGGGTTAATAATGTAATATTGAAAAGGGTGTTAGTCCTAAAATGTCCTTCTTAAGTGCCTCTAACCTATGCTAAGATTTTAGACATTCTTTTTAAATAAAGGATCCTTTCAGCCTATTCCCTGTATAGTTTCTTCCTTGGTGTTCTAGCCACACAACAGTCTGAGAGAAAGCGAATGGCTCAGGGTCACCCAGTAAGCTTAAGGTCTGAACAGAGAGATGTGATACCAGGTGCCTGAAAGGCTAGATATGAAACAGGTAGCAAATGAATAAACACTGTATCTAAAGCAACAAGCAAATTGTTCTCTGGTTGGGGATGGGTCCTGTTCATTCTGCAACCTGTGGACAGCTCTCTCGCTTTACTGTTTAATACGTGACCCTGTGGTAAGCTCGCATATGGAACAAACAATGCATCTCTGTACATCTGACCAAAAGCTTAGCACAGGTACATTCAATCAATATTTCCTAAACAAAGGGGAAGCAGCTGCAGGGGAAGTTCTTGTCTTACTGGAGTCTTTAAAGTAAGATCATGACTTCTAGTAGCTCACAAATAATTTCGGTAGATCACTTCCCCACATATACCGATGTGATTCATTTGAGCTGTTTGGAATTATATTGCCCACTTCCAGTTAGTTAATGGAAGCACAGTTGCCTGAGGGTGCCACATGAAACACAAACCCACATCTGAGATTTGAGAGTAGAGAACTGCTAGTATCAGAACTGGATCTAGTGCAGCTAGGATGGGAAAGAGGGAAAGCCCTCTCTCGTTCTTGCATTCTACCTTGGGTTACAAATCTTGTATGCACACCTAACGTGGGACCAAGCCGCAGGGCACCACATGCCACAGAAGCCCAAGTCTCCCCAAGAGAGGTGGATGATTGGCACAGTGGCAAAACTGCAGATGAACTCTGTGTGTGGGTGTGTGTGTGCGCGCGCGCGCATGCGCGCACACAAAAATTGGGGTTAGCAAACTATTATTCTAACATATTGAAAATGTAGAAGCAGTTGTAAAGGAAGGAGTGATGCTTGTGGGGGCAGGATAAATGCTAAAACAGGTGGCCTTCCAAATGACAGGAGATCACCTAGTGATATCCTAAGAGGGTCTCATCATGTCTTACAGGATATTTTCCTCTCCTTTTAACATTCTTTTATTGTTTAAAACCAATGACAGAATAGTGTATTAATAGTTTTTTCCCCATGTTTCATGCTAGGCTTTCATCCATTAAATTTCTCCTCCATTATTTGCATTTTTCCTTCATTTATATAAAATCTGATATGCACACTTTTGCAGAAGCAAGTCCCATTGAATTCAATGGGACCTGTTTCAGCGTGACCATACATAGCATTGTCCTGCTCTATTTCCTCTTGTTATTTGATTCAGAAGAGGCTATTCTGGTGCTGAAATGGGGACTATTGGGTTGTGAAACAGATGAAAGGTGACATACTGAAGCTGAATGCTGGTGAGAAGGAGGCTGTGGAAAATTGGTGGCTTTCATGTCCAGGAACTGGCTGTGTGGCCTAGACAGGGTTGTGCTCCCTCGGCAAGAGCAGGTGCGTAGCTTAGAGTTGATACAGGATCCAGCTTTGTCGCTGGAGGCCCAGGTTGCCTCGGTGGCTTAGAGTGCATTTTACCAGCTTTAACTGAGTTGCTGGCTAAGGAACTGCCAGGCTATGATGGTCCGTGCTCTGCTAGCCTCCTGAATGGACTACTGGAATGCTCTGAATGTAGGGCTGTTCTTGAGGGTGGGCCAGAAGCTTCAGGCAGAGTGGAATGCAATGACTAGAATGCCTGTGCCTTTTGCCAGATTGTATCTCAACGCAACACTTGCAGAGGAGCCACACCAGTTTCCCACTTGCTTCAGGGCCAATTCAATGTGCTGGTTTTTACTATTAAAACCCTAAAGGCTTGGGACTGAAACACCTGATAATCCCCCACCCCATTGCTTTGTCTGTGCAGGAGAGGCTCTCAAAGTCCTGCTCCTCTGAGAACTAGGGAAGGCATATTCTCTGTTCTGCTGCCCCATTTGTGGAACAAAGGTATGCCTTGCAATTGTTTGTGTGCCAGGTCATCTTATTCTTTGGCTTGACTCAACCAGTGAACCAGCCAATATTTCCCTCATGGACCACAAGCCCATTGCACAAAAGGCTCCCCTTCCTTGTAGAAGGAAAGGGACTAATTACCTGCACTGAGGAAAGTACACGCCACATCCTAATGGCCTCAAAGAGCCTTTCAAGTTTTAAAAAAGGAAGCTGTCAGGCTGGGGAAAATGCTACCAGTGTGGAAATAGCAGCTGCCACTAAAGAAAGCAAAGGAGAAAAGAGAGCCTGCGAAGAGAAACCTGCAGCAGACTGCAAAGATTATTTTACTTTTTAAAAACAAAGATAGGTGGTCACAGCTATTCAGGCAAGTAGCTAAATGCAAGTCTAACTTATTGTTAAAATGCCTATGAACTATAAAAGGAAGGACTTCTTGATACAGCGCATCATTCAACTGTAATTCACTAACACAAGAAGTTGTGGTGGCCACCATATTGGATGGCTTTCAAAGGAGAAGACCTTCAATGGCCACTAATTCTGAGGACTGTATTACTTCTAGTATCAGAGACAGGATGCCTCTGTGTACTGGTTGCATGAGCGGGACAGTGCTGCTGCGTTTGCAGCTTATTATTTGTGGGATTCCCACAGGTAGCTGTTTGGGTGTTTATGTGAGCAAAATGTGATTCAGCG